TTTTGATGTATGTTTTGGCTAGGTGTACAAGTTTCCCAAGGATATAAACTGAGCTGATATTTCAGTTGAGATTGTGTAAATGGGAGTAGTTTTTTCCTTGTTTGCGTGTGGAGATCTTTTTTGGATTTGCTTTCCTGACATGTCTTTTTGCTGTTATGCAGATACTATTCCAAGTAATGTTCCATAGTCTTTCTACTGACATGTGGATGGTGTTGTGTAATTCTTCTTGCTGTTCTATTTCCTTGTCCAGATTCTTTTGAAATAGCTTCCATTGCTTTGCCTTTGTTGCTTTAGTATTGAATATGTTTGTTTTGAGAAATGTATTGTGTGATATTATTTGATCGTCTCCTATGGGTGTGTGTATTGTGCATGTAGGGATATTGTGGTCACTATTGGAAATAAACTCTGATGGTATAGTGTGTCTCCAGTGTGAACCAGTTTGGATTTGGAAACAGCCAAATGTAATCAATTCGTGTTGCAGCTCCATTGTTATTTTTCCATGTGTATTCTTTTTTGGATAGGTGATGAGTGTATGAAGGATTGAGTCAAGTTTTGGATTTGCTAATCTATTAAAGTCTCCCAGTGTAATGGTAAGGAAGTCTTTGTTGTTTTTTTCCCAGATTTTTTGGTTTTCCAACTTAAAAATTGTTTGCGGTTGCTGTTGAGGGATGCTGGAACATATATTCCAATAATATTGACTTTGTTATTGTTTTTGTAGTATAGATCTATACAGATATCTTTTTCTGGAAATTTGTCTACCCCACCTATGTGTTGTGCAATTTCTGTTTTGAGCATGATAATAGTGAACAAAATCAACAAAATGACAAAATTCTTACAAAAACAAAACACTCCCATAACAAACTTCTCCCTCCAAGAAAGTATCAACCAAAAAACAAGATGGCTGGAAGAAGTAAAAGACCTCTGGCAAGCAATGAAGAAGACAACCAACCAAGAACTACAAAACAATATCAACATCCAAATCAAAGAAGCCACTCAAAAAGAATGGATCAATACTTAGAATCCAAAAAGAAAATGATTAATAGCATACTATCACGAGAACACAAAACAATTGAAATAAACACAATTGTCGTTAAAAATCCAGAAACAACCATTGTTACAGAACCAAAAGAAGTCAAAGAACTGGCAAAAAAGTACTTAAGTCACCAACCAGTACATCACAACATGTCACAAATCCCCACAGAATGGCAAAAAGAATATAAGCCAAGGGACAATATACAAGAAGGCTGGTACATAGCAGTACTACAAAAAATACAACCATCAGAGATCAGAAAAACCATTGCCAAAACAAGCAAAAACTTGGCTTCTGGCCCATCAGCAATAAACTATACAAAGAATAATGCACATCTTCAACAAAATTCTGGATACAACCTCAATTCCAACACAGTGGCAACACAACCTGGTATACCCAATCCCCAAGAAAACAGACTGGCAACATGACCTCAATCACACCCACCGATCGTCCTAATGGAAACAATCAAAAAGATCTTTACAAAAATCATCAATAATATGCTTGCAAAGGTCTTAACTCAACATTCAATTCTCTCACCTCTCAACTGGACAGGCCTGCCAGGAGGTGACACAAATGAACTCATTTCAATAATAAATTATATTCTGGAGGATGCAAGACAAAACCAAAAATAATGCTGGCTAATCAACCAAGACATCAGCAAAGCCTATGACTCAATCAAACATAGCATCTTGGAAAAAGCATTGCAAAGAATCAAAACTCCAGAAAAAATGATCAAGATTATATTGAACCTCAACACAAATCATAAAAATAGAGTAATTACATGTCATGGGTTAACAGATGAATACTCACCAACCAATGGCATAGACCAAGGTGATACAATCTTCCCACTGCTATGGCACATATACTATGATCCCTTGATCACAAAAATAAGCGAACTCAAAGTAGGATACAAGTTACACAACACAAGGCATAACCAATGGCTAGAAACAATCAGAGACCCTCAAGTCCAAATACCTGTAGTGGCATATATGGATGATGCAACATGGATCACAACAAACAAGAACAACACACAAAAAATATAAAACATCACAGATACATTTGCCCAGTTCACAAATTTAAAACTCAACCCTGATAAGTCAACATTATTGACAGTCAATAACACAAAAGAAGCGACTTTGGAATCCAACAGAAAGACAAACCAATTCGAATTCTAGAAGTATACATCACACAATCAGGAAAAACAACTCACCAAAAGCAGATCATTCAAGACAAAATCAACTATACCACAAAAACACACAAAAGAAAGCACATTACAGACAAACAATGCAGATATATTCTCAATCAAGTCCTAATGTCAGCAATAGAATACCTGCTCCAAAACATCATACTGAGTGAAACAGAGTGCCAACAAATAAACAGAAAAATTATAGCAGTAATCAAAAATAAAATCAATATAGCATGTACAAATATCAACAGTGAAATTTACCTTCACACAGGATACAGTGTTTCACATTTATGATAGAATGCTTCAACTACACATACAAACTTGGATGAACCAAATCAACAGCAACAACATTATTAAACAAATAACAAGAGCAAGATTGCAAAGCCTGCAAAAGCAAGTATGAAGTACACAACCAGTTACAGTCAAAACAACAAATGATCTTAAAAACCTTAACAATTTCATCAGCAAGTTACTGATATTATTCAAAGAAAATGACATACACATAACACCTAGTAAACACAGCCCTGCAAATACCAAGAAACCCTCTGCTACATCCCATTGAAGAATACACATCACAACAATGGTACATCAAAAATAGAGGTTCACTTAAAAAACATAAATTGATGTTTATTGAACAAGTAACAAATACAACACAAACACACATGATTACATGGACACAATTCAAAACACAAGAAAAAGTCAAGCATGTTGGCAGATATCCCAAAATGGTTCAACCAGCTGACAAATTTTCTTGCACAAGAAAACATAATCACAAATGACAGGAGAATCATCATCCCCAACCTGTCAACAAACCTGCTAATACAACATAGAACATCCATCAACACAACAATAAACAGAGGAGAATACTTAGCCACAAGTATAGATGGACAGATATACATAGGCAAAAGAACAACAAAACACCGACCAAATAACAACCACATCACAGCAACACACTTCATCCATATAGCAGAAGACTCACCTATCGAAAAATGCACAGGATACAACTTAAATACATGAGGTAACAAAACAGGATGCTCCAGAAAACTAGCAGCAAACGAATACATTCCCCTACCAGCCAAGAAAACAAATAACAGTTCCAAAATCCACAGCTACATAACAGGTCAACTAATGCACATACAGCAATCCTCCAACTCAATACATAACAACCTCACACATATTAGAGAGATCAACAAACAACAAACAGATCCCTTACCAATAATAACAATAGATGACAACATAAGCAACAGTCCTATTACAGCAAATCAAACAGAAAAAGAAAAGATCAAAGAAATAAAGAGGATTACAGAACAATGGAGTGACATCAACATGTACACAGATGGCTCTATGGATCCAACAGATGACAACAACATGAAAATGGGTATAGGCATCATTATACAAAACAGAAGAAACAATATTTAATGCCAGATGTGAACATTTCCCTTACAGCAATTGAACTCATTCCAACAACAGCCAATGTCAACATCCATACAGATAGCAGCAATGCTATACATACAATAAAAAACTGCAAAAACAAAATAATTCAAATAAAACAGCCTAACCACCTCACAGTTGCACAAATCCAATCACAAATCAATAAAAGAATAGGCAACACAACCATCACAAAAGTCAAGGCACACAACAATAACACCATGAATGACAAAGCAGATCAGGATGCAAAAGAGGGAAGAAGCAGTCAACACATTATATGCCTCAAAGATCTAACAGCAACCAACATAACAACAATGCAATGGAAAGAGTTCACACTAGACACAGATATCCCCAGATTCATCAAGAACATTATCAATGCAAAGTGGATAGCCAAATGGTGCACACAAAACAGACACATACAATGGCTGGATAAACAAGAAGAAGATCAAATATCATGGCAAGAAATATGGGAGAATCAGTATCCAACAAAAATCACTGCAGACACCACATCACAAGAAGAATACAACACAAGGGCATTTAAATATAAGCTCCTCAACAATGAGCTGCCAACTAAAAATAATCTATACAAATGCAATTCACATATATACAAGACAAACCACTGTCACAGATGCAACCAAATCAAAGACAACACTTATTATTTTATAGAACACAGTGAAGAAAATATATACAATGAATTCATATCAATAGCATCATAAGAAATCAGCTCAAGATCACAAGAAAAACAATCAGAGAAACTAGAAACACAGCTCATAAAAGCACTACCTGCCAAACAAAAGTAATATCAAATACATAGTCAAGGGGGTAATGACAAAGAACCTCTACAAAATAATAAAACAAAGGACACAGGAAAAATGGAAAAGAACCATAGCCAAAATACAACAACAAGTCACAACAACCATATATAAAGCATGGCAACAAAGATGTACAGAAAATACAGAATGGGAAAAACAAGAAGGGATTATACAAAGTAATAAATGAAACAGGAAAAAGAAAGACATAAAAAGAGACACAACAACCAACCAACCAAAAGATCGAACACAGCTAATCAAACACATTTGTGAGTACTTAATTAGCAACAGAATACAAAATAACAAACAGGAACACAACATGAACTTTAATCATTTAATCAAAAACTATTATATACAAGCTAATGGAGCCTTGGCACGTTA